CTACAACCAAGCTGTGAAGAAGACAGTGTGTTATCATCCCTACTTCATAGCTGAAAAAACTGAGATTCAAGAATATGAAACATCCCACATCTCTGCTGGAGATGGATCAGAACCTGGATCTTCTAACTCCAAGTCTCAAGCTCTCTGACTAGACCATGTTGACTCATTGATGCTACTTCTTGGAAAAGGGTAGGAAATAAAAGGCAGAGAATAAAAAAGCATGGACCCAAAGGGTCCCTGGGTGCTATGCTATATGGTGTGCATAGTTTGATCGAAAAGAAATGGAGCAAGGGAAAGCATGCCAATATAAGTTAGTGTTTATAAAGCACTGCATTTCATGATTCTCTCTAATACCTTCCATGTGTTCTCCGTAGCATTAACTTTAGTTTAATCAGTGGTAAAAGAAAGAAACACTGGCTAAGTTGTATATACTGCATGTTAGATGTGTTGTCTACACACATACACATAAGAATGGGATAACAGCTGGTTTACAAAACACATTTTCTAAATTGAAAGTTGGCTAGGTCATTTTCCTCTACATCTACAGACAAAGTTTTAAAACTGCCCCCAAGAGAGCCTCTGTTTCTAGGAATTTTTAAGTCTTTCTCCCTCCTTTACAGTCTCTAAAGACCACTGACCTCTGTTGCTAGGAAACCAGATCAAAGGTCATTTTTTGGTTTGACACTAGTATGTTAAGAGACCACAATTGTATTTGCTAGAAATTCTACCAGAATCTCCTGAGGAGTTCCAGTGTTTAGTATGAAACATTCTCTTAACATTTGTCCTCTGTCAGTATCTACCAAGCAATGTCCTCAAGTATACGGGTAAAGAAAAGAGACTGGTAGTTCTTACTTAATTAAAACTCATTATAATAATAATAAGAGTAACACACTGCTAACTCTTTTGAGATTGTCAGATAGTGAATCCAAGTGTGTTCTTAATCAAAATTCTCAAGCAACACCATGAACATTAGAATGTCGAAATGTCCTAGAACAGCATGTGAATAGAATGCTTCCTGAATGGAATGAGCCATATTAAATTATATCTGATGAAACAGTGCTACATGCTCAAAACTGAGCATGGCACTGAGAAGGAAGTGTGATATAGTGGAAAGAGTAATGCACTTGAGTTCCTACTCAGCCTCCTTTGTGATCCCAGACAAGATAACCTAACTTGGCAGATAAGGGATGGAGGTGGATACAGTGATAGGCTTATTAGCTATCATTAACCTTTCTGGACCTTAATTTCAATGATGGAATTGATAAGATTAGATGAGAAATTTCTCAATCCACATAGATTTTAGAGGGTCCATGAACTTGGATATGAAATAAAATTCCAACTTTATCTTCACTAATCTCTAGTTGAAATTTAATATTTCCTTCAATTATGAATGTAGACAACAACAAAAAAATATTCTGAGAAGGGCTTCACCTGGCTGCCAAACACACAAAAATTTTAAGAGGCCCCAGATCAGACAGTTTCTAAGGTTCCTTCCTAGCTCCAAATTCTGAATCAGCAATAAGGATGGAGAAAGAAAACATTCCCCTCCACATTCCCCCTTTATAAACCAAGGTGAGAATCCTGGGAGAATGTCACATATAAGGATTAAACCATTTGGCTTGAAATATCAAGTTAGTATGCTAGTAAGAATCATAGAGTCTGGTTTCAGCCCTTCCCCATTTGTGGGACACCCACAGACAAGCTGAAAGATCCACCCCTTAGGCTCTGGTGAGCCAAGTAAATTTTGGTTAATCCTCACCTGGGATTATGATCTGGGATGTGCTGCCTAAAGCTACAGAAAATGAGAAAAAGACCTGGCAGATGAGGGAGCTTAGCTGTCAGCTCGGCACAGCTGTCCTCACGATGTTCTGCTACTTCATATTCACACACTGGGTTCACTGGGGGCTTTCCAGCTGGTTAATGCTTATTCCTCACAACAATTCATAGAAGCAGGTTATTACATTAATCATCCTAAGGAAGATAGTAGACAACTGGCTGGTTTGAGAGCCAACCAGAATATCAGTGATAGAAACCAGGTTCCTTCACACCTGTTCTTCTGTTTAGTCCAATGACTTAAGCGGCCCTTGTTTCAAACATGTCATGGGCCTGCCTAAAATGCCAAATTTCCTCACACCTGCATAGGAGTCTTAACCAAGGCTTAGATATCTCCTGCCTGGTAGCTGCTTCAGTGGCAAAGTTAACTCTGCCTACAATCTGAACTAAAGTACCGAAATTTCAAGAGAGGCCCCTAAGATAAACAAATAGTTATGGTTTAAACATCAATTTCACTGAAGATTAATGACAGAATAGGATTTTTCATGGAAGAAGCTTAGACTTTTGAAATGAACAAATATGGCATGAAATCCATAAGACCAAACACTAATTCTTCAATAAATAAGTGGTCAAAAGATACAAACAAATATTTCTAAAAAGAATTGCAAGCTATTAACAACCACATGAAAAAATGCTACATCATTAATAGTAAGAGAATGCAAATCAAAGTAACCTTACACCCAGCAAAGTGACAAAGATGACAAAAGATGGGAATCATTGGTCAATATTGGAGGGGTAGTGGAAAGACGAGCACACTAATGCACTATTGGTGGAGCTGAAAAAACGGTCCAAACATTTGGAAACCAATTTGTAAATACATGATGAGAGAGACTAAAATATCCACATCCACTGACCCAGAGATTCCACTGAAAGACATATTCCACAAGAAGGCCAATGATTTTTTTTTAAGCCCCATATACACTTAACTTTTTCTTGTAACAGCAAAGAACTGGAAACAACGTAGATGCCCATTAATTGGGGAATGACTAAACAAGTTATGGTACATGAATGTAATAGAATACTACTGGGCTGTAGAAGAACTGATGCATAAACATGAAAACAATATACACAATGACAACAAAGTAAACTGAACCACCATATTAACATATGAAATTTAATGCTCTGAAATTATAACTAACCAACTGAAGTCTCAAAGGAAATCTGGGAAAGCACCTCCTTCCATTGCTTTCCAGAGGAGAATGTCAGGCCTTTTCAATGTGTTAGTTTTGCTGAAGTAGTGTTTTGTTTTTTTGGTTTTTTTTTTTGCTTTTTTAAATTTTTAGTTATAAGGGAAAACTCTCTGGGAGGGTAAGGGAAGATTCACTGGGAAAGGGAAATGATATTAAGAACAAAAACTATCAATAAAACTTTACTTTAAAAAGAAGGTATATTGATTGGGTGAGGAAGTGACGTACAGAAGAGGTAGATTTAGCCCAACATGAGAGACACAAACAATAGGAAATCATGATCTTTTCCCCCAACTGAATTTGTTTTCATTGAAGCAAGTGAGTCTGACATGAGTGGTGTCCCTGCCTAGAGGTCCAAGCTGGGACCACAAGCAGCAGCCACCATCTATAAAAGTGTCCCTCCAAAAGTGCTTATAGTGACAAACATCAGTCACCAATCTCGGAAATCTGATCTGTTTGCCATTTAAATCTATGTTATTCACTGGTGCTGGCTGCATTCGTGTCTAAAAATACAGGAAATCTGCAGCCTAAGCACATTTGGCCCGTTAGCTCATGGGGTTCTGATTTGAATACTGAACATGTGGAGTGGGACGAAGGTTTTGTTTGGATATCTGCTATCCATAAGGGGCGGAGGAGGAGGGAAAAAGGAAGTGTAGGTTGAGTTCTGCTGCTTACACTACAGAGAAAGAGTATGAATTTGTGGGCTAGGAGATTGGGTCAGAAGGATTATCCATTGAAGTAAACTCAGTTTTGGAGTTATGTGATAGATTCTCAGTAGCAAAGTAACAAACAAGGTTATTTTCTCTAGAAAAGTTCCCAAATAGTTAGAATCATCCCCTTTCTCCACTCATGAAGGCTCTAATCACTTCTTGCCTAAATTGTTGCAATGGCCTCATAATTGCAAACTCCATCCCTCGAGTCTCTCCTTTCTCCTCTGCCAGAGTGATATGCCAAAAACATAAGTCTCAGCATGTTACTGCTCTGCTCAAGAAGCATCAATGGCTCCCTGTTACCTCTAGGATCAAATAATAATAGACTGCTTGGCATTTAAAGCCCTGCAACAACAGGCTTCTTCCTACTTTATTAAATATTATTATTCTGCCGTCCGCATCCCATTTCCAATTCTACCTTTATATAGGTTGTTTCCCAAGCTTAGATCCTCTCACTTCTGTGTCTTAGAATCCAAAGCCTCCTTCAAAGCTCAGTTCAAGTTCTACTTCCTGTATGGAATGAAGTCTTTCCTGGCTATGGCACCCTCAAGGTGCTAGTTCCCCTTCCTACCAAAAAGATCTATTTTATATCTACTTATATGAGTATCTGTTGTTTTCCAATATAAAAGAAAAGTTCCTTGAGGACGAGGACTGATTCATTTTGGCTCTGTATCTCCAACATTGAGCGCAGTTCTTGGCACACTGCAGGCACTTAATAAATGCTTGTTGATTAATTTATTGCACTGATCCCCTTCCTGAGGCACCAGATTGTGTAATCAATAAATACCTGACCCACTTCATAGATAGCAAGAGTCACAGACTATTAAAGACAAAGTAGGGAGGGGCCAAATGGGATATGGATCCCATAGCAAGGCAAGAGGCCAAAGGCAGCTGTCTTCCACCAGAAAGGGTGTGGTACTCCTGGTCTATGTCCCCAGGCTCTAACGTGGGAGAGAAAAAGGAATCCAAGCTCTGGCATGTTTTTAAAGTCTGTAATAGAAATTATGGCAAGGCCAGCTGGGAATAACCAGAGATATTCATAGCCAAAGTCCTCTTCAGCTATCAAGGGGAGAGCCAGGGTGAGATAGGAACCTGACACCATTTTCTTTTTTCTTTTTTTTGCTTACATCCCTCCAGGTCCTGATTTCCAATCAATAAATATTTCATCCAAAAGGGGTGGGTACTTCCCCTCCTTCCCTCTCCTCCCCATACTTTTCCAAAACAACCCTACCAGCCACTTTCGCTCAGAGCCAGCGGCTATGGCACTCACCCATCAAAACACTCAGCAACTTCTGGACTCTGGAGTTGACGCCAACAATTCTGTAGAGTCCTTGCTCATTGATCCCTGGGAAAAGAAAAAGACTCTGATTTAATTAGAGGACCATCAATGCACAAATAAGGCTAATGCAACCTAATGCATTTCTTTCATTTCCTCAGCCTTCCTAATAACTGCTCTAATTAAAGTATCTTGTCACTCAGCCATGCTGCTGGGGAAGGGATGGACGGGATTTGGTACAGCTGTCTAGAATTTCATGGGTGGACTACACACTATAACCCTGGTGTTAGTCTGGTAATCAGAGGGGAAAGATCTCCAACCTCCCCTGCCAGAGGCAGCATCTGGACAGGCTGAAAGATGTCAGTAATAATGGCAATAATACATGTGTATTATTTATATAAATATATGGGTGTATATGCATATCCTTATGCGTATATTAGAAATAAATATATGCGTGTGTGTGTGTAGCCAACAACAGAGATAAGTAACAAAGAGGTACACTTTGGATTTTTATGATGCTATTCTCCAATACCAGAGTATGAAATACTTAATGGTGACGACACTCTCAGTTTTACAAATGGTGGCCAAAGCACATATAGTTGGTAGTTAAAGAAAGAACTTATTAAGAACATAGCTAAGCAGTTAGGAAGTCTACTCTTTTGTTTTGTTTTGTTTTGGTTTTTTTTAGCTAGGCAATGGGGTTAAGTGACTTGCCCAGAGTCACACAGCTAGTAAGTGTTATGTGTCTGGGGCCGGATTTGAACTCAGTTCCTCCTGAATCCGGGGCGGTGCTCTATTCACTGCACCACCTACCTGCCCCCCCAGCCTGCTCTTTTGTTATACAAATGTTTGCCTGTATAAAAGTTTTTTTAAGACAGATGATAATATCACCTTCCTCTTTATTCAATACCAGGAAAGAACTAGTTGGTCTTTGGGGTTTATTTTATTTTGTTATTGATTGATGCCTTTAGGTTTTTTGTTGTTGGTTTTGTTTTGTTTTGTTTTTTTAACCACAGACAAATACAATCCCCTTCCAATTGAACTCTCCCTTGAAGGAGAAAAACAAGTTAAGCAAAACAAATTGAAAAATAAAAATGTCTCTCAACTCTAAATATTCACTAAGCAACAACAGTTTTAGAAAGGAAAAATACTATTATCTTCTGATAGTACATTCAACATCGCAAACCTGGAGGCTGCCCACATTTCTATTGAAAGGATTTCAATACGTTTTATCATATTTCCCCTTTTGGAAGCTCATTGTAAAACGGTCACCTAAATGATCCAACAAATGTTGACCCTTTTTTATTCATTTATATCTCCATAAATCTGGAGAAACGGATCTTTACAACATGGTGAAAAAAATAGTCACAATCCTATTTTATATAGAAGGATATTTTGAATCAAGAGCTCATGGTGTCTTTGTACTCTCTGCTCCATCTTATTTATCTGTCTTTTCTACCTATCTTATCTATTTCTCTATCTCTCTACCTACCTACTATTTATCTATGAGATACTTCATAGCAACAAATTATTATGCTAGAGCCACTGGAAAATATGTTATGGCCAAACAAGGCAGGGTCTTGGAACATGCAAGTATTGGACATGAATTTGCTGAATTCTTAATCAATAATTTACAGAGAAATATGACTATCTAAAGTATGGGTACCTAGAATATATAGGTAAAATGAGGTGATCTGCAGCTACTAAAAGTCTTAGAGTCTAACCCATTCAAAGCTTAAACACAATGAGTGACTCACCTAAAGTCACAGAAAGGGGGATAGCCACTGAATTCTGTGACACTGTAGGGCTATACCTTCTGAGACAATCAATTAATAAGAATATTGGCTCAAATTATATAGTAATTCTCTCAAAACTGTTTCAGAGTTGGTAGTTTTTACAAAGGCTTTATGATATCTTTATGATATCTTGGTAGGTTAACTCTCCAACTGTTTTATATAATTTTACATTATAAATAGTATTTCTTTTTCCAAATATTTCTCCTTATTTCTATTAGTAATGTATAAAAATGTTTTTTTCCCCTGGGTTTATCTTAACAAGTAAGGATTAATTATTTCTTTCTTTAATTTTTCAGTGGAAGATCTTGAATTAATATGTCATCATGTCATTTGGTAAAAGAGATTATTTTGTGCTCATCTTTGCCAATGTTCATTTCCTTAATTTTTCTCTTCTTACTGCTATAACTATTATTCCTAAAATTTTGTCAAATATTTTGGGTAATGAATTACCATGTAAGAGTAATAATAAGGGTAATACTGAATAGCCCAACTCCTTATCTCCTGACTCTGCTTCAGAATCTCCAGACTTTTCCACCTCCATCCTAGTGGTCTCCTTATCCTGGAAATGTTTCCACCTCTAATGCCCCCTTTCTTTAATTGGTGGATTTTGGCCAAGAACCACTGTTTAAAGAAGTTCACCAACCTTGCTCACTTCTTACCCAAGTCAGATTATATTGAAACTGTGCACATAGATATATACCTTTCCCCATTCCTTGTTTTCTAGTTTCCTATAATGTGCTATCTTCCCTCATTAGAATGTAATTACACTCACTGAAGGTGGAGACTGTCTTTTTTTTGGCTTTTATTTATATTCTAAGCACTTGTAGCACATAATAAAAATCATTTTTTTCCTTCAAAATTTCAAAATCAATCTTTCCTCTTTCTTTCACTCCTATCTATGGCCACTTTGCACAGCCCTCTCTCACTTAAAACCTATTCACCTACAAGTTATGGCATCATCTTCCTGATATCATGGTCCTCTTCGAGAGCAAAGGACAAACCACATAACTATCTATGGAAGTAGTATGTTATGAAGTTAGAGGACTGAAGTGCAAATCCTACCTCTCCCTTGGCAACATTGTGCTATCAACTAACTCTCATTTGGGATGTATAAGACAGAGCAATGAAAAATGGTATACCGAGGAGTGAATAACTAGACACTCAATCACTCATTCAAAGCCAGTCTAATAATCTAAGAACTGTTTAATGGCCTCTGTTACTGATATTCTAGAACAAAATGCAGAGAGGACCAGATCTTACAGGTTAATGATAATTTTGACTAGAACCCATGGAGAAGATGATGTGTTCAGAAAGGCCAGGGAATGAGGCACACTGGATTACTTCATTCTCCGATCTCTCTCCTCCAATATCATGTACATTGGGTCTCTTCTATGAACTTCTACTAGTATTTTCATAGCTGTGTTTGAATAATTGATTTCTCTATAATTGATTAAACTCTATGAATTTTATGTTGTAAAAGATATCATTCTGAGAAGGGGTCCTGTTTTTGTATCCCCAGTTCTTAATTAGCATGGTGACATATAGTAGGTGCTTAATAAATGTTTACTGATTGACTGATTTGTAAAGAACCTGCTCTTATGAGTGATGGTGGTGGTCCCCTACCATGGTCAGGCTATACCTGCAGTATTGTTGTGTTCAGGTCTGGGTGTCACACTTTATTTGTTTTTGTTTTTTAATGTGAGGCAATTGGGGTTAAGTGATTTGCCCAGAGTCACACAGCTAGTGAATGCTATGTGTCTGAAGCTGGATTTGAACCCAGGTCCTCTTGACTCCAGGGCCAGTGTTCTATCCACTACACCACATAGCTGCCCTGGGTGTCACATTTTAAGAGCATTCAGAAGTGATGGCAAATGGTGTTGCAATGAACTTCTTAACAATTATAGGTGTCCCAGAATGGAATGGGCTTGCCTTGGGAAGTAATGGGTTACATGATGTGGAAGTGCTCAAGCCAAAGCTGGATGACCCCTTTTGGGTTGAAGAAGAGAGGAATGTGGGGCAAGTTCTGGCAGCGTTGGACTAGGTGGACTCTGAGACCCCGTGATATACCCATTGATTGTGGTATTCTGGCAGTTAATGAAATCACTTAAAATTGGGAAGCAGCAGGCAGTAGATAATATGCTACAAACGGCTGTGCAACCTTCATGGAGAACAATGCCATCTGTTGAGCTCCTTTACCTCTGGTTTCCACAGCATGGATGCACTTCCTGATTATGCTGAAGCCAATGGTGTCCAACTGTGCAGCTGAAAAAGAAAGGAGGGAGATTTTTTTTTTAGAGCAACCACTGGAACCAACATCATGGTGAAATTTCTGCTTGTTTCCCATCAGTTTGTAGGCTCCTGGAGAGCTAGGACTGCTTTTTGCCTTTCTTTGTATTTATTTCCAGGGCTTAGCCCAGTGTCTGGCACATAGTTGGTGCTTAATAAATGCTGGTTTACTAACTATTCAAAAAGAAAATATACTTACCTTTCCAATAAAGAGATGGGAAGTAATTCGGTGCTCATCAAAAATGCTTTCAACTTGGGAGCTCCCTTTTACTCACTTTCAATAATTCAGTATTATTTATTAAAAATCCGTGGTGAAATTCTTTGTTATAAGGTATGGCTCTTTGGGAGAGGGGAGGGGGGGAGATAAAGGGGGACATCTAGGTGATGTTAAAAACAAAGGCTACTGGGGTGGAGCCAAGATGGCAGGGTAAAGGTAAGGGCTCATTTGAGCGTTCCCAAATTGTCCTCCAAACAACTTTAAAATAATGCTTCAAAATGAATTCTAGAGTGGTAGAACCAACAAAAGCATAGACTGAAACAATTTTCCACACCAATAAAACATAGAGGGTCTGCAGGGAAGGTAAGTCTAGCACAGACCACGCACCCAACAAGCCAGCAGCAGGCCTCAGGAGCTACTGAAGCTACAGCAGTGTCTTGATCAACATTCCAGGGTGAAAAAAAGTACTGCTGGTCACTCACATACCAGAGCACGTGCCAGGAGTGCAGTGACCACACCTCTCCTAAGATCATACCAACTTGGAAGAACTGAAAACTTACAGACCTTCAAAACTAGTTCTGAAAACAGCTGCACCAAAAAAAGCCCCTGAAGGTTGGGACAGTGGCCCCTCCATCTTGGGAGCAGAGCCCAACTTTAACATTATGTTAAAAGTCAATAAATAGGTTAGAAAAATAAGCAAACACCAAAAGAAGAACCTGACCATAGAAAATTACTATGGTGACAGGGAAGATCAAAACAAACTCAGAAGAAGACAATGAATTCAAAACCGCTACATCCAAAGCCTCAAAGAAATATGTGAATTGGTCTCAGACAAAAAACAAAAAATTCCTGGAAGAGCTCAAAAGGGATTTTTAAAATCAAATAAGAAAGGTAGAGGAAAAATTGGGGTAAAAAAATTAGACTGATACAAGAAAATCATGAAAAGAGAGTCAACAGCTTGGTATAGGAGGCACAAAAAAAATGAAGAAAATAGTACTTTAAGAAACAGAATAGGCCAAATAGTAAAAAAGGCACAAAAATCCACAAAAGAGAACTCAACTCCTTTAAAAATAGAATTGGCTAAATGGAAAAGAAAGCTCACTGAAGAAAATAATTTCTTAAATTGGGAAAATGGAAACTAAAGACTCCATGAGACATCAATAAACAATAAAACAAAAGTAAAAGAATGAAAAAAATAGAAGAAAATGTGAAATATCTCATTGGAACTGACCTGGAAAACAGACCCCAGAGAGATTATTTAAGAATTATTGGATTACCTGAAAAAGAGCCTGGACAACATCTTTCAAGAATTTATTGAGGAAAACTGCCCTGATATCCTAGAACTAGAGGGTAAAATAGAAATGGAAAGAATCCACTGATCACTTCTTGAAAGAGATCCCAAAATGAAAACTCCCAGGAATATTATGACCAAATTCCAGAGTTCCCAGGTCAAGGAGAAAATACTATAATCAGCCAGGAAAAAAAAAAAATTCAAGTGTCATGGAGCCACAGTTAAGATAATACAAGATTTAGCAGCTTCTACATTAAAGGACTAGAGTGCTTGGAATATAATATTCCAGAGGGCAAAGGCACTAGGATTATAACTGAGAATTACCTACCAAGCAAAACTGAGCACAATCTTTCAAAGGAAAAATGTGCATTTAATGAGCTAAGGACTTTTAAGCATTCCAGATGAAAAGACCAGAGCTAAATGGAAAATATGACTTTCAAATACAAGACTCAAGAGAAGCACAAACAGGTAAACAAGAGAGAGAAACCATAAGGAATTCAATAAGGTTAAACTTTTTACATTCCTATATGGGAAGATGCCACTCATAATTCCTAGGAACTTTATCTTTGTAAGGACAATTAGAAGGAGTATACATAGACAAGAGGGTATGGATGCAAATTGGCCACGATGAGATGATATCTAGAAAAATAAAATTAAGGGGTGAGAAAGAGGGATGCACTGGCAGAAGGGGGAAGGGAGAGATAGAATGGAGTAAATTATCTTACATAAAAGAATCGTTTAAGAGCTTTTACAGTGAAAGGGAAGATACTGATGGGGCTGCAGGGGTGGCAGACAACGTTTGAACCTTATTCTCATTGGAATTGGCACAAAGATGGATATAGAAATCTATCTTACCCTATAGGGAAATAAGAAGAAGAAGGAGATGAGAGGGGAGATTGAGGGAGGTAATGATCAGAAATAAAACAGTGAAAAGACAGTAGAATAAATAGAAGGAAAATAGAACAGAGCAAAATACAGTTAGTAATCATAACTGCAAAAAAGAATTTTTATAGCAAGTTTCTCTGCTAAAGGCCTCATTTCTTAAATATAGAGAGAACTGAGTCAAATTTATAAGAATATGAGTCATTTCCCAATTGATAAATGGTCAAAGGGTATGAAAGGCAGTTTTCAGATGAAGTAATCAAAGCTATCTATAGTCAAATCCAAAAATGCTCTAAATCACTATTGATTAGAGAAACTCTGAATTATCACCTCACACCTATCAGATTGGCTAGTATGACAGAAAAGAAAATGACAAATGTTGGAGGGGACATGGGAAAATTGGGACATTAAAGAATTGTTGGTGGAGTTATAAACTGATCCAAGCATTCTGGAGAGCAATTTGGAATTATGCCCAAAGGTTGTAAAACCCTTTGACTCAGCAACACCCCTACTAGACCTATATATCAAAGAGATTTTTTTTTTAAAATGGGAAAAGATCTGTATACACAAAAATATTTATAGCAGCTCTTTCTTTTTGGTGGCAAAGAACTGGAAATTGAAGGGATGCCTATGACTTAGGGAATGCCTGAACAAGCTGTAGTATATGATTGTGATGGAATAAAGAAAGGAAGAGAATCTGGAACTCAACATTTAAAAAAACAAAAAAATGTTAATTATTTTTACATAATTGGGAAAAAATTTAAGTATTTTTTAAAAAATAAAGGATATTGATAGAGATCTTTTAAAAAAAGAATAATCTATGGTATGCTGCTAGGTAGGTAAGTCAAGGTGGTCAAACAAAGAAATGCAGAATATACACCAAAATATTGACAGCAACACCATTTTTGTGGTTAAAAAAAAAGAATCAGAAACAAAGCAGATGCCCACTCTCTGGACAACGGCTAAACCAAAGAGGATGCATCAAGGTAAGGGGATGTTACTATGTCATAAGAAATCCTAAATAGGCAGAAGTCAGAGACACATGGGAAGGTGGCACCTGAAAGATGCTGGGGGGAAAAACCACAGTAAATGATATCCATTTAAATGGAAAAGGGAAAGGAAGAGGACAGGAGGGGAAAGGAGAGAAGGGAATACTGGATTCCAGGGAAGAGTTGAGAAAACACTCCTGCTCTTCTTTGCAGAGGGGGGGGGGTTATGGCGTGGAATATAACATAAACTGTCAGACACGCTTCATCACTTCACTGTGTTTGTTGAATCATTTTCTCTCCTTTCTTTACTTCAAAAACAAAAGCTTTTATTTTCTCTTTCAGTCAGTCAATCAATACCGATTTATCAAGCACGTGCTATGTGCCAGAGGCCTGTGCTAAAGCACTGGGCATACAAAGAAAGGTAAAAAATAGTCCCTGTTTTTGTTTTGGTTGTCTTTGTTACAAGGAATGGCTTGCTTGTAGGACAGAGATATATTCAGAAATGAAAGAGAGGTAACAATAAAAAGACCTAGCTAGAGGGCTACAAAAAAACTACATGATCCCCAATTGAGGAGAAAGGCTGACAACTCTACTCATATGACAGAAAAGGGAGAAAACACCAGAGGGAAATTGAAGTAGCCACGAAACACCTCAGTTGAACCCCTGGGGGTAACCAAGAAGAGGCCATGGCATCCCTTGATGTAAAGGACCAGGTGAGAGAACAGACACTAAAAGATCTTTAACTCTTGTTATCTTGCTCCCAGAGCCTCCAATGTCATTCAGAAAATAATTAATAGTGACACCGTCACCCATGAGGAATTCATTCACCATTGGGCCTAAGGTGTGGATGACCACTGAAATCCATTCAGGATAACACACAAAGCGATCTTTATAGGCTCACACTTGACTGCTGATTGCTGAGCATCATGACCTGCATGAAACACTCTCAGTGACAAAGCTGACATTTAATGGCTTATGATTAAGACTGAGAAGGGTCTAAGAGAAGGAAGGTTATTTGTCACTGTTTTGTCATTGTCCCATGGCAAAAAATTCATTTTTTTCAAATATAAACTCTAAGCAGAATTTAGATTGATCTTCTATTAATCCCAAATTAATTTTTTCTTCCTGTCTTGCCACATTTGGGAGATCCATGGAGCCATCCAAGATAAAAACCTTGAAAATCTCTGTTAACTCTGACAGTCCAACAACAACAACAAAAAAAAAAAAAGAATTATGAATTTTCACAGGAACCACTCATCTCAAAGGGGGAAAATGTGTTCTTATTATAAAGACACTTAATCTTGAAGACTGAAAAGAGAAAGAAAATAACCTTCTCCTCTTCCCTTTGGGCCACCTTTAATACAAGGAATCCTTCTTTGTACTCTGGCATGTTGCATGGTGCTAACTCAAGTCTGTTCTTTTCTTGGTAGAAATGAAATATTTATGTTGGGCAAATTATGATGTCCCAAGGCTTCTGACTGGAACCTAAAAATGAAATCTAAGGCATTCTTACTAATATAAAACTCAATTAATTTGTGGCACTGCCATTTTTCAAATTTAATTTAAACAAAGTAATAATACACAGGCCAAATTCTTG